CAACCAACGTTCAACGTCACCATCACCTTCACCCTCGCCGTTGCCGTTGCCGTCGCCGTCGCCGTTGCTGGTGCCAGGCGAATTCGCCGATGCCGTCGCCGTTGCAAGTAGCCGCTTGAGAGCGTCCAAATCGCCGACTTGACCGAAGGCAAATTGAGTGTCCAATTGATGCATCTGCCAGACGAGAAGTCCGAACTGCCAGACGTCGGAGGCGGGCAGGAAACGGCCCTCGTGCAGCGCCTCGGGTGGAAGGATTCTAAAAGGCAGCTCCTTGTTGGCCGTCAGGATTCTGTAGTAAAAAGCATAGCCTGCCGCCTCGCCATCCCCTTTTTCTTCACTCTCCTCTTCTCCTTCCTCCTCCTCCTCCTCCTCCTCCTCCTCCTCCTTTTCCTTTTCCTCATTTTTTGTCAGATTTCCCTTTTCTTGTCCTCCGAACCCCTCGGCCTTGCCAGCTTTCGGGTCGTCACAACCGACCGCTGGTTCGAGGCCGCCGCCAACTGACTGCAAGCCGTCTCGTATCTGATTCTGGCCGATTTTCTGCGATTGCCGGCTTCGGCAGCTTCGCGTCTGCACGGATAGGCCTAAATCGCATATTTTAGGCGTCAGCTCAGCGTCCAAGAGGACATTTCGCGACGCCAAATCGCGGTGAATAATGCCATGTCGAGCCAGATGGGCCAGCCCGTTGGCAATGCCCTCGGCCAGACGCAAAAACAAGTCCGGCGGCAGATGCAGGGCGTCAACCGGAGCTCCACAACGGCATGTGGTGAGGCCGGAGGAGCCGGAGGTCGCTGGCAGGGTGGTTGTCGTGGTGTCTGTCTCGACGGCCCAGACCAGCTGCGACCTCGAGGGTGCGAGACTCGAGCCTTCACCGGTAGGACGGACCTGTAGCCACCGATCAATCGGTACCGTAGCTCCAGGCAAACTAGTGTTCTCATTCGAGCAGAGAGCCTGCGTGGAGCTGGCAAGGGAAGAGGCAAGCGAGACAAAAGTTGTGATGGCCGAAGGTTGCCGACTGTCTGGTTGTCTGTCAGCCAGTTCTTTTATAAGCCTGTCAGTTGAAAGATATAAAACCATGAATAGCATGAAATTGCAATTTGTTTTAAATTATGATCTGTGCCCCATTTGACCAATTATCCGGCAGAATTTTAAAAACAGAAACGAAACATGTTACTTGTAAGTAGTAAGTAGTAAATTTATATAAATAACATATACAATTGCTTGAATATGTCCGAACGCTGTCAAAATCATAAATCATTCATATAATTGAGGGACACTTTTTTATTCAAGAGTTGCTGATAGACCTGGAAACCTACTTTATCTAAAGTTAAGAAGTTGATAATTCTGAGCCTGCTCAAAATGAGACGCATGAAAGAAATCAAGTACTTTTGTTTTGTTAATACTCCTCAAGACAACCTGGTATATCGTCAGGTACCTAGTATCGCTTTGAAAGCAAATTTCAGACGATTATAATCACATGTTATAGCCATACCATCATATATGCCAGCTATTAAATAATACAATGTTTTTTCATATATAGTAATAAAGTGGATCGTAGGTCAATTTCACCAGAAGACGACGACTGATTCTTGTTTTACTGCAGTCGTTTGGCCCTAATACGACGTTCAGGTTGACGCAGTCCACGAGACCGCCTCCCTCGCCTCAGATGGAAATGAGCTGAGCTTTCGTCCATCATATGATGGACATCATCAGAGCTGGAACTCATTCTTGTAAAAGTCTCACATTAACACTAGGTCAAGAAGACTGACCTGATCTCATAAGGAGAAACGTATTTTAGATATATATTGGTATAGAAAGGTTTAATTGATTCTCTTACACTAAAGTGTGTATGTGTGTATGTGTATTAATGTATGCATGCAAAACCGGCCATACATCAGAATACCTACAAAAAAGACTTACGTCGACCACGGATTAATAAGGCTTAATAAGCAAAGAAAAAAAGTATGACCAAGATTGCGTTAGTGCGTAAGTAACCCTAGTTGAATTGATGAGATGTAAGCCTGTACGCGAGAAAGTCAGGCTACGAAATCACTAGTCCGAACCCGTTGGTCTGGAGCCATTATGGTTTAATGACCCAAGAAAAAGCATGACGAGGATAGCATGCGATGTATTAATTCGCCCCTATTGCAAGTTCTTGCGTATGTTCATGAAATTTACAGTCAACTTTTGAGTGATGAGCTCAACATGCCTATTGAATTAGCGTGAATTTGGTTCGAATTATGAGTCAGCTGACAACTTGACTC